GGGTAAATATTGTGGCTGTGGCAGAGAAATGTTTAAAAGACTGGAGCAAGACGGCATTGAGTAGCATGTGTTCTGGTGCCATCTAGTGCTTCTGAACAGAATCACACTATGTTTGTAAATGTATGTGTGTGTATATATATATTTTACACACATACACTACTCAAATAAAATGAAAGGAACACTTTGAAAACCCATCAGATCTCAATGGGGACAAATCTGCTGGATCTCTATACTGATATGGACGGGGTAGTGTGTTAGGAAGGTAAGGACGCCCCATCGTTTGATGGAAATGAAAATGATCGACCTACAGAGGACTGAATTCAAAGACACCCCCGAAAATTAAAGTGATAAAATGATGCAGCAGGCGAGTCCATTTTGCTGAAATGTCATTGCAGCAACTCAGAATGGTCCTCAGTAGTCTGTGTGGCCCCCACGTGCTTGTATGCATGCCTGACAACGTCGGGGGAGGCTCCTAATGAGACCACAGATGGTGTCCTGGGGGATTTCCTCCCAGATCTGGACCAGGGCATCACTGAGCTCCTGGACAGTCTGAGGTGCAACCTGGTGGCGTCAGATGGACCGAAACATGACATCCCAGAGGAGTTCTATTGGATTTAGGTCAGACGAGCATGGGGGCCATTCAATGGTATCAATTCCTTCATCCTCCAGGAACTTCCTCCATACTCTTCCCACATGAGGTCAGGAATTGCTGTGCACCAGGAGGAACCCAGGACTCACTGCAGCAGTGTAGGGTCTGACAATGGTTCCAAGGATTTCATCCCAATACCTAATGGCAGTCAGGGTGCCATTGTCTAGCCTGTAGAGGTCTGTGCGTCCCTCCATAGATATGCCTCCCCAGACCATCACTGACCCACCACCAAAACGGTCATGCTGAACCATGTTACAGGCAGCAGAATGTTCTCCACGGCTTCTCCAGACCCTTTCACATCTGTCACATGTGCTCAGGGGGAACCTGCTCTCATCTGTGAAAAGCACAGGGTGCCAGTGGTGGACCTGCCAATTCTGGTGTTCAATGGCAAATGCCAATCGAGCTCTATGGTGCCAGGCAGTGAGCACAGGGCCCACTGGAGGACGTCGGGCCCTCAGGCCACCCCCATGAAGTCTGTTTCTGATTGTTTGGTCAGAGACATTCACACCAGTGGCCTGCTGGAGGCCATTTTGTAGGGCTCTGGCAGGGCTCATCCTGTTCCTCCTTGCACAAAGGAGCAGATACCGGTCCTGCTGATGGGTTAAGGACCTTCTACGGCCCTGTCCAGCTCTCCTAGAGTAACTGCCTGTCTCCTGGAATCTCCTTCATGCTCTTGAGACTGTGCTGGGAGACACAGCAAACCTTCAGACAATGGCATGTATTGATGTGCCATCCTGGAGGAGTTGGACTGCCTGTGCAACCTCTGTAGGGTCCAGGTATCACCTCATACTACCAGTAGTGACACTGACCCTAGCCAAATGCAAAACTAGTGAAAAACAGTCAGAAAAGGTGAGTAGGGAAAAAAATGCCAGTGGCCTCCACCTGTAAAACCATTACTGTTTTGGGGGGGGTCGTCTCATTGTTGCCCATCTAGTGCACCTGTTAGTTTCATTAACACCAAAGCAGCTGAAACTGATTAACAACCCCCTCTGCTACTTACCTGACCAGATCAATATCCCAGGAGTGTCATTGACTTGATGCTAGACTCGGATTAAAAAGTCTTCCTTTCATTTTTTTTTCTTGAGATATACACACACACTGTGCAGTATACGGATATATAACAGCGGTCATCTCCTGCCACCCAGTGGACCTAAGCAGCGATCACACTGCATATATGTTGAAGTATCTTCTGGAGTAGGGATGATTAGGTCCCACCAGTTTTTTCTACTCTCTGCTTCCTCTGAGGGAAATTTCCCTTTACTTCCTGTCCCAAAGCCCAACAGGCAGTGAGGGGACATTTCTACCGAGTGGGAGACGTTCTCTTAGTTGTCCCCATGTGAAGATTTCTCCTCTCCTCCTGTTCTGGTGACAACTGGAAATTGTTGGATCTCCCCTCTTTCTGTGTCGGTGGTCACCAGGACACACAGAGGGTAAATCTCCTGAGCGGGGTCACAGACCATAAACAGACCCCCGGGTGTGAATGGCCCTATAAACACAGGGAGATTCCCCCACCTCGGAGTTTCTCTCCTCTGACAACAAGCCCTATCTTTGTGGGTGAGGTGACCACCCTGGGTACCCAGATCCCTACACCTGGCCAGTGGTATGTGTACCCCCGGAAGAATCCTCACTATCACAGCTTTCCTCTGGGGGCGGAGCCTGTGCCAGCAAAGTTGTGAAGGTTTCCCATCCTGTACAGACAGGAAGTGATAGAAAACCTCCATACTCAAACCGTTCTATCATCATAATGGGAGAGGGGTTAGATCAGGGGGCGGTGACCTCAGCACTCCAGCTCCAGTGGGACTACAAATCCCATCATGCCTTGGGAGTTATGCCTGTGGTTGAGTGTCTTGCAATGCATCATGGGACTTCCACAAAGGCTGGAGTTGCGAGGCTGCCTCCCCGTATTGGAACACAGGCGACTTCCTTCCCCAGTGACAACCGCCCCCAGCCGTCTCCTGCCCCGGTGACAACCGCCCCCTTCGTCTCCTGCCCCGGTGACAACCGCCCCCGTCGTCTCCTGCCCCGGTGACAACCGCCCCCGTCGTCTCCTGCCCCGGTGACAACCGCCCCCAGTCGTCTCCTGCCCCGGTGACAACAGACCAGGTGGGTGTGAAGGGTCCTAGGGGCCCCTAGAAGCAACCTAGGGGCCCCTTCACACCCGCCTGGTCTGTGTGCTGAAGGAAACGCACATGCGATGTAGATGTGCGTCCAACCCACAACTCCTCTGAAAAGCTATTTGTGTTTTTTTTTTGTTTGTATTTTTAAGAGGTGATAGACTCCACCTGTTTTAACCCCATTTTTGCCAAACAAATGCGCCACAACCACGTGCATTGCATGTGATGGCGAGGTATTGGTGACGCTTCCCTGTCCACTTGAATGGGTCGTGTTTATGTTGGGACGGGTGTTGCATTGATCAGGGAGGGACAGGAGGGTTTGGCGATCATGTGACCACTGTTATTGGCTGTCACTGTGATCACATGATCAGGAGCCGGTCCCTCCAGCCACTGGGGAGCGAATGCCATCTCTGCACTCTCAGCACATAAATATAATCTGCCCAATGACACCTACAAGGGTGCTGCATGCCCGCCATTTACCGCCACATGTATGGTAACTGGTTGACAGCTGAAAGACAAAAAAAAAAAAAAAAAAAAAACGCACGCAAGGGTTTTTTTTTTTTTTTTCGCACATTTTTACGGCCTGCTCCTCCCAGTCCTCTGTTCTCTACTGGACTAAACCAAACACTTATGTCTGACGATGCACCAAAAAATAAATGCCCAGAGAAGCCAGCGCTCAGGGGTGGGGCGCGTCCGCCGTGGCACCTGGGGTGGGGCGCGTCAGCACTTTGTGTGATATGCTCACCTAACCTTCGCCACAATGGCCCAATGAGAGAAGCCAGCGCTCAGGGGTGGAGCACATCCATAGTGGTACAAGGGGTGGGGCGCGTCCACGCTGGCACATGCAACGGACGCATTTTGTGTGATATGCTCACCTAACCTTCACCACAACGGCCCAATGAGAGAAGCCAGCGCTCAGGAGTGGAGCACGTCCACCATGGCACAAGGGGTGGGGGCGCGTCCGCCATGGCACAAGGGGTGGGGGCGTGTCCGACCGTGGCACATGGAACCTTCACCACAATGGCCCAATGAGAGAAGCCAGCGCTCAGGGGTGGAGCACATCCACTGTGGCACAAGGGGTGGGGCGCGTCCGCCGGGGCACAAGGGGTGGGGGCGCGTCCGACCGTGGCACATGGAACCTTCACCACAATGGCCCAATGAGAGAAGCCAAAGCTCCGGGGTGGAGCACATCCACTGTGGCACAAGGGGTGGGGCGCATCCGCCGGGGCACAAGGGGTGGGGCGCGTCCACAATGGCACATTCAACGGACGCATTTTGTGTGATATGCTGACCTACCCTTCACCACAACGGCTGATGATCGGGCTCGGAAGTGCGTCATTGTGCGCTCAGGCACGCGTCATGTGCGTTGCGGTGGTGCACAGGTGTGACTGCGTTCATTAGAATCACGTTTACCCCCTTCAGTGCCGGCTGCATACAGCCCTGCTGTCCAGGAAGGTGTTAGTTTGGCTGACAATGACTCCGTCATCCAGCACCGGACTCTATCATTGGACGGAGATGGACCGAGCCCCCTTTGGGGGGGGGGGGGGGATTCTCTCACTTCTGGGGATTTTTATGATTTCAGGAGACGTTCACATTCACTGGTCAGCACCTTCAGCTGTTATTGGTGTATGAGGACGCAATCTGCTCTCAGCTCATTGGTTGAGGTGTCAGGGGTCCTGCCTCCCAGATGGAGGGGTAGTGTTGAACAGATTTATTATTGGGGGGCATAATATGGGGAAGGAATGGCGGCACAGATCCCCCCTCATCCAGTAATGGCGAACAGGGGGTATACAGATCACGAAGGCTGGATGGTAACCCATAGCAACCAATCAGCATCCATCTCATCCTGTTACATTAGTATACTATAGCAACCAATCCGCATCCTTCCTCTACAGCGTGCTAACTAGAGCAACCAATCAGTACTAATCTTGACCAGAGTGGTAACCTATAGCAACCAATCAGAAACAATTTCATCCTGTGGAGTTGGTAACTTATAGCAACCAATCAGCATTTTTTTATAGGGTGGTGGTTACCTCTGGTTAGAGCAACCAATCAGCACTAATCTTGTCCAGAGTGGTAACCCATAGCAACCAATCAGCACTGATCTTGTCCAGAACGGTCACCCAGAGCAACCAATCAGCATCCATCACCTCTAATCCTCTGCCGAACGAACTCTGATTTGTTGCTCCGGGTTACCGAGGTCCCCACAGACCACACCGTACGGTCCCCCAGGTCACCTTCAGGTCCTCCACGTCCACCAGGTCATTGAGCACGGCCTCCATACCGTCAGGAAGCGGACCAACAGGCGCACCTTCTCCCGCACTCTCTGTCTCTCTCTGTATTTTCCCCTTGCGCGTCAGATATCCACGGCGGCCATCTTAGATGTGGGAAACGTCAAGACCGCAAGTTGTAACCACCATGTCTACTATAAGCAAAGCAATGGCGGAGGGCCGGCAGGCAGCCATTTTGGTTCCTGGTACACGTTGGCAAGAAGAAGGCGCCCCTCGTAACGTCCGGGAATCACATGACAGGGGACGTCGCGTGACATTTAAAGGTGAAGTACCCGGCGTGGTGTGAAGAGGACCTGTCACCTGTACAAAGTGTGTCTCAGAACAGGGAGCTGGATGTAAGGTGCAGCCCAGCGCCAGGCAGACACATATATGAGTGCAGATGTTACAGACCGCCTGAAAAAACATACAGAAACCATCCACGAGTTATAAGAGACCGTTAGAGGAGGCCGCAGTATCACCGGAGACCGTTAGAGGAGGCCGCAGTATCCCTAGAGACCGTTAGAGGAGGCCGCAGTATCCCTAGAGACCGTTAGAGGAGGCCGCAGTATCCCTAGAGACCGTTAGAGGAGGCCGCAGTATCAATAGAGACCGTTAGAGGAGGCCGCAGTATCAATAGAGACCGTTAGAGGAGGCCGCAGTATCCCTAGAGACCGTTAGAGGAGGCCGCAGTATCGCTAGAGACCGTTAGAGGAGGCCGCAGTATCCCTGGAGACCGTTAGAGGAGGCCGCAGTATCGCTAGAGACCGTTAGAGGAGGCCGCAGTATCCCTGGAGACCGTTAGAGGAGGCCGCAGTATCGCTAGAGACCGTTAGAGGAGGCCGCAATATCGCTAGAGACCGTTAGAGGAGGCCGCAGTATCGCTAGAGACCGTTAGAGGAGGCCGCAGTATCGCTAGAGACCGTTAGAGGAGGACGCAGTATCGCTAGAGACCGTTAGAGGAGGCCGCAGTATCGCTAGAGACCGTTAGAGGAGGCCGCAGTATCGCTAGAGACCGTTAGAGGAGGCCGCAGTATCGCTAGAGACCGTTAGAGGAGGCCGCAGTATCGCTAGAGACCGTTAGAGGAGGCCGCAGTATCACTAGAGACTGTTAGAGCCTGGGGACAGCATACAGGAGACTGCTGTAGGGTTGTCACCTCATCCCTTTATAACCAACACATATTATTACTCAGGTGGTGAGGCTGATTAAGGTGCTCATCCAATCCAGTGCCTTATCCACAATAAATCCGCTCCAGCACCTTTGTAATCAATACGTGTTTGGCTATAAAGGGATGAGGGGGCAACCTAATGCCAGCCATACATGGGTCGAATTCCGAACAATTTTTTGTTCGAAAATCGGAAACGTTTTGCTCGGTAATAAGACGGTGCCATTGTTGATTTCGAAAATCGACCGACCAAGTCATAAAGTTCACCTCATATAACAGGCGAAACTTCTGTTCCTTCCAGGTCACGGCTCATGCGCATATTGTTTTCGAAAAAAAACGATCGTACAATATGACCATCGAGTCGGAAATCGGCCCGTTTTTCCCAAATTTTCCAACATGCCCGATCACAAAGCGGGAGGAATCACGAAAATCGTCCGGTGCCATTGACCCCACTAACAGAGCGAAATTCGGCCGATTATTCTTAGACCTTAGACTGCTGGTGGACTACAAGAGGCTAAGACACTCCGGACGCTGGACTGGACACGGCCTGCAGGTTACACAAGTCTATATCACACGGCTGACACCTTACAGGACATTGTTAGAGACCGTCAGCATATTAAAAGTTTCCAAGAAAGATTGTTAGTGACTGCATGGAGACCGTCATCATATTATATGACCATTACAGGCTGCAACCTTGTTACCAGAGACTGCTAAAGACCAGAGATTGTTAGAGGTGGGCAACAAGTTACAAGAGAATGATAGAGATTGTCAATACAGCACAAGAGACTGATAGAGATTATGAATACAGTACAAGAGACTGATAGAGATTATGAATACAGTACAAGAGACTGATAGAGATTGTCAATACAGCACAAGAGACTGATATAGAATATCAATACTGTACAAGAGACTGATAGAGATTGTCAATACAGCACAAGAGACTGATAGAGATTGTCAATACAGTACAAGAGACTGATAGAGATTGTCAATACAGTACAAGAGACTGATATAGAATATCAGTACTGTACAAGAGACTGATAGAGATTATCAATACAGTACAAGAGACTGATAGAGATTATCAATACATCACAAGAGACTGATAGAGATTATGAATACAGCACAACAGACTAATAGAGAATATCCATACAGTACTTGAGACTGACAGAGATTGTCAATACAGTGCAAGAGACTGACAGAGAATTTGAATGCAGTACAAGAGGCTGATAGGTATTATCAATACAAGATAAGAGACTGATCAAGGTTGTCAGTACAGTACAAGAGACTGATAGGTATTATCAATACAGTACAAGAGACTGATAGGTATTATCAATACAGCACAAGAGACTGATCGAGATTATCCATACAAGTACAAGAGACTGACAGAGATTGTCAATACAGTACAAGAGACTGATAGGAATTATCAATACAAGATAAGAGACTGTTCAAGGTTGTCAGTACAGTACAAGAGACTGATAGAGATGATCAATACAGTACATGAGACTGAATGAGGTTGTCAGTACAGTACAAGAGACTGGTAGCTGGTGTGCAGTGCAGGTGTGCCGATCTCAGTGCATCACACGGTTCCTTTTTTTTTTATAATGAACTTTATTGTAATGTCACAAGACGTCTCCTTAAAGTGATTGTAAAGGATCATGTTTTTTTACCCTCCCCCTGCTAATTGCCCCTAGAGCAAGAAACCTACAATGGGGCACTCATGTGCTCTCTCCCACCCTGGCTGTGTGCATCCATTGACACACAGGCTCATCCCCACCCCCACTCCTTCCTCACTGGCTGAGACTGACAGCAGCAGGAGCCAGTGCTTTCCTTGAGCCAATGAGGAGGAAGAAAGAAGAGATCCATTGCTGTCTGGGAACAGCACTGGATGGAGATATGGGGTTCAGGTAAGTGTATCGGGGGGGGGGGGGGGGGCGGGCGCACTGAGTTTGAGCTGAACTCAGCTTTAGGATGAAAAGAAAAAAGCCTGCCAGCCATCCGGTGCAAGACAGTGGACTGCCTCGCTCTGCACTGGAAAAAAGTACTGCATGCCGCCTGTGCACCACCCCAACGCAGTGCCAAGCGCAGACCTACCACACCTGGTGTGAATGTGTCCTTATAGACATCTAATGTGTTGAAAGTGACCATTAGCCCGGGTTCACACTGATGCGGTGCGGAATTCGCAGCGGTTTCTGTGCAATTTCTGCACCGCATCATGATCGCACCCTGTTCATGAAAACCGCTGCGGTGCGGTTGCTGTGCATATCACATGCGATGTCCTGCACCGCATCAATGTGTACCCAGGCTTAGAGGCTGCTGCTGTGTTACTAGAGACTATTAAGGTCCTTTCACACGGGCGTTCTGTATGTCCGTTTTTCATCTGTCCCTTTACGGACAAAAAACGGATACCCATGTATTTCTATGGACTAGCGTACGTAAACAGATGATCATTTGTTTACATCTGTTAATGTCCCCATCCGTTAACATCCGTTTTATTGAAAGAAAACCATATTTTTCTTCCGTTAAAAAAAAAAACGAACGGACAAAAAATTTATGTAAATGGAATAGATGGAAACTGACGGAAAACTATTGTAAACGGCCAAAAAGCTGATTGAAACAGATGAAAACGTATGTAAATGGACTAAAGACAGATTTAAAACAGATGTAAACTGATGAAAAACAGATGAAAATGGATGTAAACAGACAAAAAAAAATTGATGTAACTGGACAAAAACAGATATAAACAGACAAAAATGAATGTAAAAATGGATGAAAACGGACAAAAATGGATGTAAACAAATGAAAAAACGGATGGAAAATGAATGTAAACTGACAAAATATGAATGTAAAAGGACAAATACGTATGTAAATGGACGAAAACGGATATAAATGGACAAAAAATGGATAAACAGAAGTAAATAATAGATGAAAAACTGATGAAAACGGATGTAAATGGACGAAAATGGATGTAAATTGACAAAAAAACTAAGGTAAACAGACTAAAACGGATGTAAACTGATGGAAAACAAATGTAAACAGACAAAAAAAAGAATGTAAACAAACAAAAATGGATGTAAAGTGAAGGAAAACTAATGTAAACAGACAAAATCATATGGAAACAGACAAAAACGGATGTAAATAGATATAAACTGATGAAAAAACGGATGTAAACTGACAAAAAACAATGTAAACGGACTCAAACATATGTAAACAGACAAAAAACTGATGTAAACAGATGAAAATGGATGTAAACTGACGGAAAATGAATGTAAACAGACAAAATCCGAATGTAAATGGAGAAATACAAACAAAAATGGATGTAAATGGATGAAAACGTATGTAAACAGACATTAAGGATGAAAAACGGATAAAAAAACAGACGTAAACTGATTAAAAAGTATGAAAAACGGATGTAAACAGACAAAAATGGATGTAAACTGATGCAAATGGACAAAAAACTGATGTAAACAGATGTAAGCTGACGGAAAACTAATGTAAACAAACAAAAAAATGTAAATGGACAAAAATTATTATATTATTATTATACAGTATTTATAAAGCGCCAATAGTTCGCTCAGCGCTGTACATTACAAAGGGGGACAGAACATGTGACAGAACAATACCAATACAATGCAAAACATGAGGGGATCGAGGGCCCTGCTCTTTCGAGCTTACAATCTAGGAGGGAGGGGATGGTGGCACAGGAGGAGATAGCTGTGGGGGATGGAGTGGTAGGAAGAGTGGAGGAGGTCGGCAGGTTAGCAGGGGTGGGGTAGGCTTCCCTGAAGAGGTGGGTTTTCAGGGTGCGCCTAAAGGAGAGGAGAGTAGGTGATAATCTGATGGGTTGGGGCAGGG